ATTAACTTCAACATTTACATGTAATATTCCTTCTCTTGGGACTTAGAGTCTGAAATTCAATCAAAAATATCACTTTAAAAGGTATAAAACACATTCCCTTGCAAGAAAATTCAATTCTTGCATACATACAATTGAACTTCTACTCTGAGTTTCTGACATAGACAGCAAAGACTCTTGGCCTAATTTTGGTGCATAGGCATCATGATAAGTGTCCAATAGACTGGAGGGCTTAGTAATATTTGTTCATTAATATTGTTACCGATTTTATCTTTGGAACCACAAATAAAACTCATCAAGGCAGTGGTACCATACTTGGTCACTCACTGCTTTGACCAGTGCAAGATGTTTGGGGCGTTCAGTCAAGTGCCTTGACCTGGTCACAAAGTTGACACATGCACCCTGATTTTATCACTCACCATTTTGCATTTGTTTATTTAGGGGCATGGCCCTGCTTACACAGCTCTTGGCTGGTATGCCATCAACTTCCAGCATGACATGAAAGCAGCTGCTAAGTATTTTGACATCGCAGCTAGAATGGGACACAGGGACGCTATGCACAACCTAGGGTATATGTACAAGGCTGGTCAGTACCCTGGTAAACCAGTTGATGAGGTGAGAATGGTTCCATTCGGAGGGGAAATCTGGGATAGAGATTAAATTGTGTTTAATAGCTGCACCTTGAAGGGCGTCCAGCAAATGTATTCACTAGTAACACTGGCAGCGGAACTGGGGAGGTGGAAAGTGACCCCTCCTTCCTTGACTGGGTAGGGGTACGTCCACTTTTGCTAGGTCTTATAAATGGGGTTTAATGGATCAGCCTGAAATGGCTGATGCCTAGTTGTCTCCAAACTGGCCCCTTTTCTTTGTTGGCCAATACCCTGGCAAACCAGCTATACCCAGCAAGAAATGAGACCGAGGGGTACCCCCCAACATGTCCAATCCCCATACACATTCCAGACTATTGTTACTTAACACATCCCCCAAGATGTCTGAAAGGAATTCCCCAGATTCCTGCAAGACAATGACCAACACAAAGCACGGGGACTTCTCTCCGTCTCATACCTTGCTGCATATGAAACCAGCTGATGAGTACAGAATAGTCGGGTAGTTCAGATTCCTGTGGTTGTAATATAAAGGTTTAGGGAGAGAAGATTGAGACTTGAGGAGGGATTACTTAGTGCTTTCTGCATCTTGCAAGGGTTATTATTGGGCCCCACTCAATATTAAGAGTCTATTGGGGTGCAAGCTATACAAGAAAAGAAGGGACAGAGCTCACAGGGATAGGAGGTGTCTTCTCAAACTTTGACTGATTTAGGAAAGGGAAGCAAGTTATCGTAAAGGAGTTATAGCAAGAGGCAATATGAGGGAGGAAACCTGAAGACTATCTCACAGTGCTGGCCATTGGGACAGTGGCAGTGAATTGATGTGATGAGAATGCCAGGCAAGCAAAGTGCCTGAGTATCCAACAAATGTCAAATGCTAGCCACCATCCAGGTAAACTGGCTGATGAGGTACTTGTGCATCTAAAAGTCATCAGACATTATGCTGAACAATTGAAACGAAAGATTAATATTGAATGCTGAAATTTTAATGAGGCTTGGACACCTGCAGAAATTAGATCACATGCTTTGATAAATGTCATACACTAACAGCAGTCACATCCATTACTTCAACCTCATTGAACTCTAACACCATTTGAACATATTTGGTTTCTTTGGTTATTATTATCTTCATTTCAGGCCAAGGCCTTCCTGTACTTCCAGAAAGCTGCCGACAGAGGTCACATAGATTCAGCAGGTGTCATAGCTGAGATCTATAGCCAAGGATCAATAGGTGTAGAACGCAATAGCTACAGTGCTGTCTTGTAAGTCCCAACTTTGACCTAAACTTTGTGGAAACAGCTCATGTTTAAAAACACGCACATTTCACTGAACAGTGTTTGATTTGAGATAAAAAGCAAAAGGAAAAGGAGTGACGAGTATTCCCAAAGCATATCCTTTGTTCCTGCAGCATCCTGCATGATTGTTTTGCTGAATTCATTTTATGCAATTATATTGTTTCAGACAAGTGAGCACCCCTTTACAACGGTGATTAATAAGTGGAACCAAGCTGCAGCTAGGATGATCACTATTCATAAACCCATCTCCCCAGTCTTTCATCGTTAATTTTGTTAATTGGTTACCAATTAACTCCCAGATAACTATGATAAGATTGTATTTAAATTACAAATGCACACATGAGTCAGCCCTTGTTTATCTCCAAGAATGAATGTACAAATGCATACATCATCCAAGGACTCTTCACTCCAGCAACAAGATCTGTTCACTCCATCATTTCTTATCAAAACAGGTCAACATGCCCGGCCTTCCAATAATACTGCACCTGACCTATGTAACAATCTCCCATGTATACATGTACCACATCAAATAGTGCCCCATTCATAAATCAAATTAATCTTCAACTGAAAATGCACCCTTTCACTCTTGCTGGTTTGTAGAGTCTTCATTATACTGTTTATTAATATTATTCAGATACAGAGCTGGATAGCTCAGTTAATAGAGCTCTGGCACCATGTCTTAAAGGTCACAGGTTCCCTTGCCTTTCCGGCCAATTTCCAGTAAGGAAGATATTTCTATATATAACTGGTTTTGCCCTTACCCAACGTATATGTATCTTGAAAAAAAGATATTTCTAGATTTTTCAACCTGGTCGTTTTTAATTTTGTTATTTATAATAATGGAGAAATTAACTGGACTGACACTTGATACGACTATTTGTCAACAGTTGGTCTCGGTTTGTGTGTGAGAAGAACCCAGAGATTGGGATGGTGTTACGCAAAGGTCTGGATGCATTCCTAGCAGGGTCTTGGTAAGATTGAAGGATTCAATGAACAAAGAGTTAGGGGAGGAGTAATGGTTAAGAGTAGGCGTGGCAAACCATCAGCTTGCAACTCTCCGATTTGAATTGGAATAATAGCGTTTACGTCTGTGTAAGGCTAAAATCTTGTCTAAAATTGACATCCCAGACACAAACCTTATCACATGTACCACTGGCTATGTGTCATACTCGCTACTACATCAGATTCAAGCCAGCTGTTCAGTCTTGGCAAACTCAGTGATCAAGTGGTTAAGACATCTGTACCTGTCAGCAGGAAGTCATTGGTTCGAATCCCACGCAAGCAAGCTTGTGATTTTTCACCCCTCATAGACTGCACTGAGAATACAGCATAAGTGCATACGTTGGGATAAGAGGAAAATATCGTTTAGAAGAATTTTTAAAAAATTAGAGATACAGCAGAGAATAACAGTAAACAAAAGTCTGAATTTGGTTAGGGAAAAGGTTAACATGACATGAAAAGGAGCAATTTACAGTATTGTACACTATGAAGTATTTCCTTCAAAGAAGCCACTCATGACTGACTACTCACCTTCTCTATCAACTGTAATGTCTTGGTTATTATTTGTCATCCGCTACTGAAGATGAAGACAGAGACACGCCGTAGGTTCAGACAATCCTGTACCAATAGTTGGATGTTTCCTTTTCCACCAGTTAACCTCATCTCTTCAGTGATTGAGGGTTCACTCAATCCCAAAAACTATCATCACTCATGTCATTTTCCTGCTATACTCCCTCCTCTAGGGGTGAGAGCATTGTGTATTACATGATGGTAGCTGAGACAGGTGTGGAAGTAGCTCAGTTCAACCTAGCTCATCTCTGTGAGGAAGACCATGTAAGTCTGAAGCTCAACACACTTATATTCTTTCTTTTTAGTTTGGATAGCTATTTCTGGGTCTCATCATCATACTCTGCCTGGGGTTGGTGGTACTGTGGAACTGCTTTGCCAGAAAATATTGTATGGCATTGAAACATATTGCCCTCAGAATATATTGCCTAGCAAAAAATATTGCCCTCAGAAAATATTGCCTAATAGATTTTTGTTACTCAGTGCTGATTGGTATAATTAGATTTTAATCAAATTAAAGTGACTACGGGAAATATTGACTTTATTCCAAGGACGTCTGCACTAATAAGGAGGAAGTCGTGGGTTTGAGACCCACCCGAGTAGGCTTGTGGGTTTTTTCACAAGCCTTCGGGGGCAAATACTGAGTATATAATGTTATAATATACGTCAGACAGGGCTAAAATCCAAAATGGATATTTGCATTACAGGGTTATCCCTACATACAAACTTGCGTATCGGCCCAATATACATAATTCTTTTCCCAGTCATTTTCGATATGCAAAAAATTACCTGATACCCATTTTTTCACCCTTGACATGCACATTATTAGGCCTACCATTGCATGGCCAACAGCAGGAATCAAAATGGGCTTTGGCTCACACGTTTTGCACATGGATCGGTTTTGTGTATAAAAACATAGTTCCAAGTCTCTCCATCAAAATGATAAACGTAAAAAGATTTCTATTCCCGGGACCATACTATTGATTCTGGCATGAATGGACAGTGTTTGAATTGTATAAGCCATGCCTTAACTATTCATCAATGACGAAAGTTCCGCAAAAGAAAACGTGAAGTTTTCTTGGGGTTTCATCTGTGAATAATGAGCATTTTTGTTCAAGTGGCATGTTGAAGGCTGTCTGTGACATATACAAGAAACTAGGTATCATATTTGACAAAAGAAATTTATCAGAAATACCTTCCAAAGTACATGTATAAGGTTTAGATTGGGAGTGTAGGAGCAGTTGACCACAGAGCACTAAAGTCCATCGTGATTTTCCGAATGGCCACTGCCGGGCCCAGCTTGGGCAGTGGCCTGGCGGCGTGCCCTGCGTGCACGACGTCCAGTCAACATAAGCGGGCTGTGTACAGCAGCTTAGCTTGTGCCTTGGGCTGTACACAGGTGGATGCCTTTTGTGAATTTTCTTTTGAAATTCGACAGATCACTTTTGAGAAGAAGGCAATCAAAAACATGGAACTTTGTAGCACCTGTCAATCAAGAGATTCGTTAATTCACAATCATTTACCAAGTTTTTGCAATGTAAACAGTTTGTAAATCATTGGAATAAAGCACTTTAAATCTTTCATTTTTCCACAGGAAATTACCAGTGAAAAGCTCAGAAAACCCTTTAGATGCACTAAAGAGCATTTAAAGTTCAAAATTTAGGGGCGGGGCATTAAGCAGAGTCCAAACCCCATGCCAAGGCTTCACAATTTGTCAGTGGACAAGGACAGAAATCTCCAATGCCTTTGATAAAATCCTGGGGAGACCCCTGACTTTACCTTGACCCAAAGGCTGAAAAGTCATGTTGCAATTCCAAACCATTTCTCTCAATCTCGACAGGAATTTAAGTATTGTTAGATTGAGCCTTGTACCATTTTCATTCATTTGTTGCCAGGATGGCCAAGTATTCACCTACATCCAAACTGACTGTACATGGAAATATTACAACCTGTCCAGCCATGCAGCCGAGCCACACGTTATCTGTAGGTTGATTCAGGCATCAGAAAATCATTCAAATAACTCAAACACTTAAGTTTACCTCAGTTTTTTTCCTGGAGGATGGAATGAAAGGAACATATTGGGGTAGAATTCGTTCATTTCAGATTCAACTAGGTCTCTAAAATAGTTTATTGGGAGTAATTTACGGCTGTACATGCACATTTACAATTTAATGAAAACTACTGCACAATTTGTCAGCTTCAAGCCAAATTTCCTTCATGGATTCGTGAAACTGTTTTCACATGTGGCAAATACTTGTACAAAGCCTTGTGCTGCTTGAAATTTACTTGCTGAAGAAATCCGTTGTTCTCTCACATATCGTTGTCACATCTTGCAAACTTCCAATAGACTTATTTTTGTTAATATTTCACAGCCCAACTGAAGATGGGTGATTTTTATTATTACGGGCAACATGGAGACCAAGACAAAACCATTGCTGTCCAGTACTACTCCATGGCTGCTATGAGAAGAGATCCACAGGTTTGTTCATTCTTGAGAGATGTGTTACATTGAAACAAGGAACAAGAAGTGATATTCAGCCTGCTATGGTGATTTCAGGCTGGATCAAATTTCTGTTAACAGTGGCTTGAGGGAGTGATGAAGGACTTTGCATAATTGCAGAAGTTTCACCTTTCTTAAATTTGTCAGATTTGCTTCATGATCTTATTTTGTTTTCGTTGTTCTCAGGCATTGTTTAACCTTGCTTATCTCCTGGAGGAAGGCACAGAGATTGACAATACCCTGTGGAAAAGCCTTCACATTCCTAGCGATGTGTATAACTCAGATGACAAAACCCAGCTGATCATGGCTGTGTACAGGAGGTGAGACTTTATGAGACTGTCCAAAATGGTTGGCTGTTGCTAGTGTAGTCATTGTAGCCAGTCACTGTCCACGGTGAAGCCACAGGCTTCTTTGAGACAGTCCAAAATGGTTGGCCGTGGCTAGTGTAGTCATTATCGACAGTCACTGTCCATGGTGAAGCCACAGGCTTCTTTGAGACTGTCCAAAATGGTTGGCCGCAGCTAGTGTAGTCATTATAGCCAGTCACTGTCCAAGGTGAAGCCACAGGCTTCTTTGAGACTGTCCAAAATGGTTGGCCGCGGCTAGTGTAGTCATTATAGCCAGTCACTGTCCAAGATGAAGCCACAGGCTTCTTTGAGACTGTCCAAAATGGTTGGCCGCAGCTAGTGTAGTCATTATAGCCAGTCACTCTCCAAGGTGAAACCACAGGCTTCTTTGAGACTGTTCAAGTGGGAGAAGTCCGCACGCGATCATGTGGAGTCGCAAAACCAGTGTCTATTCAATACCGTTGACAACTAGTGGCTTTCCCTTCTAATCCTTGGAGAAATAATAGCCACTTGTCACTTTTTAACATAAAAAAGCACCGACTGTTTTTCGGGAATTACAAACGGCAACTGAATAGTGTTTGGTAGGTTCTGTGCACAAATTACTGGGAGCCAGGGACGATGTTAGGTACAGCCGAATGTTCGGTATAGCGACGTTCCACTGTAGTAGTGCTGTAATTCATTCAGTTAGGAAGAACCAAAGGTTTGACTTTACACTTGAGTAAATCTTGTGAATTTTTTCGCGAGCGATCTGACAAGCACTGAGTATACAGTATTTATGAATATACGTTGGGTTAGGGCAAAACCCATAATTAAAAACTAACATCTCCCTGAAGCAAAGTGTATCTTGAAAAAGAAGATGAAGGAAATGATGAGTAGATGGGTAAACAATTTGCTGGGAAAACAGAGAAAGCTCAATCATAAAGTCACCCAAAAGAAATAGAAATAGGCATGGTCAGTGACTAATGATCCATTAATGCTTGAATGGTAGGAATGCAGTTGGTGTCCAACACATTGAAGAATTGTGAAGGATTTTGGTAACGGTTATGTCAGTGAAGCCATATTCAGTTCTGCACTTGCAATACGTAGTCTGTTTTCTTTGATGACCCTCAGGTGTCGAGATGGAGGTAGTAAGGATTCCTACCTGCCATGTGGTCTGGCATTACTCCGCGTTCAACTCTTGGATCTATGGAGCAAGTATACTTTAGCAGTTAAGGTAAAGACAATTCATTATGTGTAATTGTTCCATCACTTTCCTCATATGCAATAGTGATACATATTTGTGCTCATTCAGTGGAAAGCTGGTCACTCACACCAAATGCTGTTGCCTAGGTTACTCTTACATTATTAATTAACAGTTCTATAAATTTGGGGTCCAAATTACGCCTGTCGGTTCTTACATATGATTTTGTAAATTTAGAAAACATTTTGGATTTATAGGAATGATTCATTAGTGTGATTTACCTGTCAGATAAATGAATATAGTTTGAAATCAATTCCAGTGATGTTTCCATGTCAAATTATATGGGTCAGGTGTAACAGGGACAGGACTCTGTGTGTATAGAATGACCATATAAACATTTCTACAAAAGGATAAAGATCCAAGATGAGGTTGTGGTTTTTGTAGAATTTGAAGATTTTTATTCCACAAATGATGGGATGTTTGGATTTTTGTGCACTTTGTTTTAAAAGCCATGAGCAATATCAAACTATTTTTGAGAAATCCTAGGCCTTGTTAGCTACTGAAAGCCCCCAAATGTCTCAACATTCTCTTTTTGTTATTTAGAGTTAGACCCCTCTATCCGATGTTCCTTGAGCTGCCTGTTATCCCTCATTCGCACATCTTCTTAAATAAACATTCATGTTTTGCCTTTACACAGGTGTCTATTGCTTTGATGTTAGGCATCATTACACTGTCCTACATTGGAACAGCTCTCCATCACATCAGAGAATCAAGACAACAAAGCGACACACCATCCGGTCAAAGTTCAGAGAATTGATGTCACAAAGGTCACCATGTCAAGAGGCCTTTCACCAGTGACCTATTCTCTGTTTAAGTGAAATATGCATAACATCTGTGCAAAAATCTGAAAGTTACAAACATTAAACTGTCCTTGTTGAAGGTAATAGTTCCCCTGAATTTGGTCAAGCTTTTGACCAAATTTATTTAAATTAACCCAAGAGTTGGAGGAATAGCTTCAGATTTCATAACATAATGTAGGCTGTATTGTTCCCCTTGGACCTAGAAGACTGTTCATTTTTACCCCAACGTGCTACCCAGTAAAAACATAGCGAGATGGATATTGCATTGTCATATGAATCAAATGTGTTTCCATTCATTTGTTGCCTTGTACTTAAAATTTCAGAAGCAATAGTCTTTTATTTTGGTCTTTTTATGGTAAATTGGTGAAATCTTCTTAGAATATTTCTTCCAGTATTCAAGCTTTTAAGATTTCGATGCCAGTTGTTCTTTAACTTCATCTGAGATGAGAGTTGTTCAGTCATATTTTGTATATTTGGGGATTGGTTGGAATAGATATAAGTAGAGAAATAAGATAATACAAATTTGGAAATAAATATTATCAGTTGCTTTAAAATAAGATTTTGCATGGCAATATCTACTTTGAAGTAAAACCAAGTGAAAGAAAGGTTCATATTTTTACTGATAAATTAGCAGATCTTCTCTCCATTTCAAGGGGTTTTCTGTTTGTAGAGTTGTCCTCTTGAGTTAGAGTGAGATGGAATCATACCTTCTTGTCTTGTTTTGATCGGTTACACAAAGCTTCAAAGATATTTTGTACAAAATAAGTTAAAAAAAACTTGTAAAAAGTAAAATCTTGGAAAATGAGACATTTCTTCCAAATGACCATTACTGCCTGTCTTTCATGTGAATAAGTATAATGTAGCAATATACATGGATCTTCATTCTTTTCTTTCTTCCCTGTGTAACATTTTCTAAGTACTATTTTTCTACCTTGGTTGTTACAGCACTATACAATATTGATTTGAAAAAGCAAGTACATGTAGATTGTTTATCAAGTTATGTTGCATGTCAGTGTTTAAGGTTTTCAGAATTATGTGGGGGGGATGTAAGATTTCTTGGCGCACATGTACATGTATGAATGAACACTGCTTTAAGCCACAGCATGCTAGACTTTTGAGATTTGTGCAATATCGTTTTTCTTTAGCATTTCATTGTTCATTGATGGACCTGTTCTCCTGGGCATTTTATGTTATGTTTGTAAGATTTTCCCCATTCTCTTTTTTGGGTACATATTTTAATTTGTCATGCCATTTACAGAGGAATTTGTACATGAACGTGCATGTAATGAGTTTCATGATATCTTACGTACCAGATGGTTCTTTTCCTATTAAAACTGGGACCATGTGAGCCATTAACAAATTAATGAACAAACAAAGTGAATCAATAATTAAAGGTGTTTGTTTTCTTTGCAGTATATACAGTAATTGAATTTTCTTTGTAACCGTTATCTTTATGTTTTTGCTTTAATTTGAAAAGCCCAGCAACAAAGTTCACTGAAAGTCTTCCATATGACAATCTAACGAAGTGCCTTAACCCTTAAGCGCAGTCCTTCGTTAAAGATTGGTTCTGAGTTTATGTTTAGTTTACTTAGTTTTGTTTCTTTTAATGAACTGTTTGTCCTTTCTGTTGTACGTATGTAAACAAAACGGGTGCTAAGATCAATCCTGCGACACTTGATACTGCCCTGACAAGATCCCTAATGTGTTGGTTTGATATTTTTACTTGAGATTTGGTTGTTGAGTAACAGATGGAAGCGAACCTGGACAGAATTTACGCTAACTTTACGCCGCTGAAAGAGTGCATGTGTACACTTTGGAAATAGTCAGCTTGGCTTGACACTTTTCCTCCTGTTTGGAAAAGATAAGAGTTGATCTTGTAGTATACCTCCGCCCCATTAAACTCATATCCAGACGAATTCGTCTCCGACTTGAACAATCTCCTTGTTTGGTTTACTATGGGTGAGTTATTCCCGTGCTTTAAAGTTGTGCTTAAAAGCGTGAATGAAAATTTATGTAGCTTTAATGTGGAATCTTTAGGTTCATGAACTTCCAGGAGAATTTTTGCAAACAACAGCTTTTGTGTTCAACGTAATGGATCCGTTACTTGATGTAACAGCTGAAATGGTGACATTAAAAACGAATTAAATACTCGACATCTTTCTGAAAATCTGCGAGGTATTTTGAGTATTTCTGTTGGAATCAACCCCAGAATGTTCAGAACAATTACATTTGTTTTTTAAACGTTCGTACTACTGCATATTTTGATGACTTGCATGGTAATTCTGTACCGCGCCATGTTTTATTTCGTAATTGCCGCAGCCGCATCTTTGGTTTTTATAAAGAACTTAAAAGGTGGCAAAAACTCTGAAATAGGAAAACGAAATTTGAAAATGGGGCTACGTAAGACGCAAAGATACATGTTTGAGGTCTGTATTGTAGAAAACGTCAATTGCAGCCACCCTTTAAATTCCTGAGCCATTACATTGCACCTTTCGAGTAAACAAGGTTCCTTTCAGTACTCTTTGTTCCGCCAGATCTTTCTTTTTTTTTTTCTTGCATTGATCAGTTTACAAATGCTTCGCTAAGAAACCTTTCACGCATGCCAGATTGGTAGGTTAGGGGACTAATATATCATACAACTATGTCCATTATTTTGATATCTCGAAACCGGACTACCTTTTACCCACAATTCTTTGAAAAGTAAGAAAATCTTTTGAGGAGGCCCCTGGATATTTCGATAGTTTTAAAGGCTTATTCCTTTTCCCCATTTCGTTTTTTATTTCTCGTAGTAGTTTGGGATGTAAGAAGTTTGGACAGCAAATAAGGGTTGTTAACAGTTGTTGAAAAAAAATTAGTCTGCTGTTTCAACTGCAGTGATTTGGAAGTTAACGTATAGGATGTTATTTTCCCAGCGCATATTCTTGGCGTATTTTATGGGAGTGACCACTCAAGCGCACTGCCCCCCGTGGGCCCCCGACGGCCGATCTCATAGGTTCATTTTGTTTTCTTTCAAAGCATTTTCTCTGAAACTTACCTGTCATTTATTTGATGACTGAGATTACAAATGACTTACACGGATCATCGAGGCCCATGCAATTTGCTTTCAAATTTAAGGTCATAATTAATTATCCGCACCGAGTCACTTCAATAGAGCTGTAGACGTTGACGTCACGGCGTAGGCGATTTTAATATTCTCGCTACTACTGAAGGTTGAACGCCTTTTCACTGCGATCTTGTTAGGCTTCATGGTATCGACTCTTTCGATTAAATCATGTTCACTAATCGATTTCATGAAATCCCACGAAATGGTAGGGTTACTTGCATAAACCATGCAATTTTCAATTAACGAATTCAGAAATAATGCACTGACAAAGAAAGTGGCCCTATAAATAGGGCCATTTTGTTCGATTTTCGAATTATTCGTTACTTCTTGGTATTCTTCTTACCCATTTCCGTCAAGATTTTCAACTGTCTTCTTGAGCATCTAACTGATACATTTCTGGAGAATCACCGTCCTCTTGGAGTTTTCACTGGTGGCGGGGAGGGGGAGGGCAGGCCAACTTTTTCACTGGGGGGGGGCATGGCCCCTACATTTCGCAGGTCCTCGTTGCTAGGGGCTTAATGAATTGGCCAATTAATGGCTGATGCCTGATGGTTTCGCAAAACTGTTCCGCCGCCGTTGATAGTTTTAATCATTGTTACAAATTACGAACGCCTCTTGCTCCTCAAAAGTAGCGGGAGACCCTCCAGAATTTGAAACAAATGAGAAAAATAACAAAAAAGACAGCTTCCTGGAAATTTATCACTTTATCGGGAGAATCTCTGTTTAAGGTCAAGTACATCATAAAGTACGTCAATTTCTAGTGGGCATTCCCTTTTGAAAAGGAACAAATTAACAGAAATTGCAAACTGGCGGCATAACATTAAATTCAAGAAAGATATCTTTAGTCCCTTTTCTTATACTTTAGAGAACATTGGTAAATCCATATGAACTTTTTTATGTATGTATTTCTGTATTCTATAGCAGTTTGGGATTGTGGAACTCGTTTGTTTGAACTTTAATGAAAAAAAAAGAAATTGGGCGTATTTGCCCAGTCAGATCACAGAGCAAAATCAATTGGAGCAGTTGATCATAAACATCTCAGATTCTGGAAGTTGGGAAACCATTTTTCCCGACAGGGACTGGGGTTTTCTCTTGAAATAAATCGAATCTCTCCGTTTCCTTTCCTAAACCTCAGCATTGCCAAAACTATGTTATTTCGATTCTTCCTTCTCTCGATAAAAATATAGTCGATTCGTGATTTCTCATTGAAACCTTATTATGAGCAGTCCAACAGTTGCGCATGCGCCATTTGTAACATTGGCACACACCAACACCCGACGAGACAGACGACAGCCGGCGAGCAAGACATCTTCAGAAAACAGCCATTTTTGGCCGTTCCCTCCACCGCAATGGCTAGAAATCTAAGCCTAGCGTTAATTTTCTTGACAGCTGTATGTTCTGTCTCGATTGCAGCGTACGTAGAGGTAAGATTGGAGGCACAGTTGTATGGTTTTCGTGTGTCAAATTTTTTAAAACCTTTATTCGATGACATTGTGTGTTACTGGCAAGCTAACCTCCAGCCCAGCCTTTCTTGAGCGCATTGTGTGCACACTGATCGTTTGCTTGAGGCTTCACTGACCGAGACTGGTCGTGCTTTGGATCCTCTGATAGTTCGCAACACTCGTGCTCAAACTCAAAGTAATATTTGCTCTATTGAAACCAAAACCTGTGGTGATTACCTAACGTAATTGGTTTTTAACTTTCTATTGTGTGTATCGTCATGATCATGACGACATGGTCAGATTACTGGCCCGCTGTGCTGGCAAACGGGCAAAACTCAGCTGAATCATTCAATTATATCTAGCTCCTATAGGCTATAGTAATAATTCAGTTTTGATGTATGTACCTGTACTACGTAGTATACTTTTGAGGGCATCATTCTTTTCATGTAGGGCTTGTGCCTACCGTGCTCTACTACATGTATATGTTTTTATGATACACTTTCTTGTATTTATTATGTAAACAAAATACAACATATTTGCATTTTACCATGTTGGCTTCAATCATAACATGATCACAAACGTCCATGATGGTATAGTCACCAGGTCCCTTTTTTCACCACTTACAACACTACTGTGAAATCAATCAGACATGACAATAGGTGGTGAAATTAGGGACCTGGTGACCATTACGTCATGGATGTTAAAGGCTTTCTATATGGAAGAACAGTGGTGTTACCTTTGCAACTTGCAAAATTCTTTATGCTGCACGTATACATGTATATTATGGTAAAAAGCAGTCTGGAAACTTCTGAAAAATTCTCATAAATTTTTGAGGCTAGTCTCCGTGGGTTTGTGCACCATTTGTCAAGTTATATTTGTGTATGGAATTGAAACCCTTTCCAAACTTTTAAATGATAATTTAAACAATTGCAGCCGATTTTAGTACTGTAGCCTTGAAATGGTTACAGAAATAGAAAACATTAAGTTCACATGAAATATTTCAAAATTACAATTCAAGGTAGAAATTAAAAGACACAGCCTACCGTGTATTTCTTGAACTAAAACAGTGTTTGCCCTGTTGGCCCATTGAGGAACCCTCTTTCCTTCATGGTTGGCCCAACTACATTGAACACAACGTGGTCTATTGAAGCGTGCGATACTGCATGTACTCTGTGCTATGAACATGTACACTGTAGGCCTACATGTACATGCATCGTTCTGGCAATGACGTCATCCAATCAGCCTGGGAGCGCGAACTGCCAAAAGGGGATTTTTGTGGGCGGGGCAACGCAGGATCTTTTTACTCATTTTGTGGTCGCAATTAATGGAGTAAACGTTAAATTTATGATGTTTTTAAAATGGTTACGTATTTCTTGTTATTTTGAAATACTTAAGGCGAACTAAATGTTTTCTGTAACCCTTTAATGGAGTGTCAACGTTGGGGCTGCACCATTGTATTTGCATATCAATTTAGTCCTCAATTTAGTCCTCCATCGGTCAGTAAATTGTAATCATTTTTTCAAGATTGAATTTAAATTTAGAGATGACAAACAAAGGAATATTCAATTATTTGGATACAAACTTGCATTCTAAATATATACATGTATTACAAGGTGTTACAAGAAAACTTTCGAGCATACATTTCTATGCAAAGGACAAACAATAAAGATTTGGCTGCCCTTTCTTTACTCTTTGTAACACAAGTACCGGTGTGTTTCTGCTTTTGTGGAATTGGTTGAAGCCCAACAAACATGTTTTCAACTGGATGGAAGATCAAATATTCTAATATTCAGTTATTTGAACTGACCAACCTTGCCAATAAATCCATGAACCATTATCTTCGTTAAGCTACTGTAATCATGCACTCAGTAGAATGCGCAAAGGAATGACAGTCTTTGTTGGAATCTTTTTTTTTCTGGGGACTTTCATTTACAAAAAAATTCCACATCTTGACCACGGGATAGAAGTTGATAAAAAAAACGAAAACTTGTCGTTCATGTGTTGAATACTCAATTTTGAGTTCACTTGTCATTCCAACCCATTTAACATGTTAACATGTACATGTACAGTACATGTATGCATTGATGCTGGTACACTGTACTGGTAGGTCTGAATACATAGTCTTATTACACAGCATGTATGCACAGACAGTGTTTGAGTGCATAGCATAGACAGGTACATGTAGGCCAACGAAGATTTTATTTATGTGTAATTCAACCTGCCCTCAGGGGGTGTAAGGTATGGACTTCATGGATTATGTTACACATTGTCACTAGATACATGTACATGTACAGTATGCTGAGTAAAAAAAGAAGAGTTTCTTGTCTTGAGCCAGCCCTTTTTTCAAATTTTTGGGGGAGGTGGTAATTTTCTGCAAATTGATAGATTTTGGTGGCTTCTACATACATGTAGGTACATGTACATGTAGATATTAGTTTCCAAAGGAAGTTTTCCCACATGTAGCAGGTTCCGGACTTGCTCTGAACATGTTAGAAACGGAGAGCAATTTGGCAAAAGTAGGCCTAACAACAAAATAAGAAAAAAAAAAACAAAAATGGCATGGAGAAAAGAATGCTGCAGGTGGAAGTGGAGAAACTGATTTTGAAAATCAGACTTGGTCTAAACC